TGGTCGTAAACACCCGTGTTTGTTAACATGGAGTTATTTGACATTTGTCAGGCACGAACGAGCACATTAGCTCCGTGAAAGCTTCACACCTAGTGACCCAGCCAGTTGTCTGTCTGGCTGTGGCTGTGCCGTCCCGTTGTTTGCTCAGAGCAAACAGGCAGAGAGAGACAGTTTACCTGATTGTTGATCCACTGAGCTCACAAGCTCATCTAATCCTCTCATTAAAGTTCAAACAGTTGACGCTAGCGTTTCGACACGAGGCTGTCGGCCGGGCCTGACCGTCACCGTGTGTGGTTATTGTTTACAGAGACATCATTGTGTGATGTGTTCTTATAGAGGCTGAAAACACAAAATATCTATCAGTGTAATAAAGGATGTATTATTAATACAGACTGAACAGATGTTATTTGGTCCCTTTGAATTGTTTGCTTGATTCCACTATAGTCTGGTAAAAAATTAAATAAAAATAAAAGTACATAGATTTAGGCCTCACAGCATCACATAAATGGAGCAAAAAACCAGGGGGTGCTCTATTTCATGAGTTACGGTCTTCAACCTTACACGACTAAATGTACTCCTCTTTCTAAACCAGAGGTGTCCACTCTGTTTGGGCTTGGCAGCTACTATTCAAATGACCAGGTTGAAGTAATCTACTTGCATTAAAAACATTAAATATATATTAAATTAAAAATATTTTATTTAATTTTTGGTTAGTTTTCTTAGTTTGGGCCACAATATGATTTATTTCTTACAGTATATGGGCACTACTACAAACTATAGAATTTTTATTTATTTATTTATTTAATTTTAATTGTCAAGATCATGATGACCAGGACTCTCTTTGCGATCTACTGGTAGATCACGCTCTACTTATTGGGCAGCCCTGGTCCAAATGAACTGTTCATGCATGTAGTGAACACATTTGCACTTGATGTGTGTGTGTGTGTGTGTGTGTGTGTGTGTGACTCTGCAGGTGCTCTTTCCTTTTTAAGTGCAGAATAAAACATATGGTGATGGGTTAGGGTTAGGGTTGTTCCTAGACAAATACAACACTGTGTGACAGTGTCACCGTCCTGGACCCGATCACTGTCCACACAAAGCTGTTAAGTCTGTACTGTTGTACTGTTTCACCGTGTACAAACACTGTTGTTTCTGTTGACGTTCCGTACCTGAACTTGATCTGCTGTTTTGGCCTCACCAGGATCCTAAGGAGCGGCTGGGCTGCCAGGTCCAAACAGGCTTCACAGATATCAAGTCGCACACGTTTTTCCGCAGTATAGACTGGGAGCAGGTAAGAGACGCTTCTATGGTTATTATTGCAAACACAATATATAAATATATATCATTCCAGTGACCTGTACCAGATCATGCTGTCCAGATTACTAGGTTCTTACCAACGTAGTGGTTTTCAAAGTGTGCGGGGGGGAGCAGTAGGAGAGGTGGGGGGTGTGGAGCAATTGGGGGAGACTAAAAAAAAAACATTTCAAGGTAAATATTTTCTTTATTTGTGCCACAATTGTAGTAGTTAGAAGTCAAGAAAATGCAGTTTAGTAATGTAATGTTCAGTGTTCGATGAGAAAAGACGTTTGTAGTATTTACAGTGTTGTAAATAGAGTTCAGTGACGTCTTGAAGCAAAGCTGCAGTAAATGTTAGGTCAACAATATTCCTCCCACCTACTAAGGGAGGGGGCTGCAGACAGAGTTTGGGAACCATTCTCTAACAGCAGGAGAACACCCGTTCACTGGTTGGATCCTGGGTCTCTCAGTGTGGACGTTGCATGTTCTACCCATGATCACTTGGGTTTTCTCTGTATACCAGAGTTCACTCCCACATGCATATTGTAATATGGTGTATACCTGAAACCTGAAAGTGCAGTCTGAACTTTTTCTTAACACAGAGAAGGAACATACAATAGTGACAGGTTTTCTTTATTCAATTCAACATACCGTAGTTGACTCACACACTTGAATCTTGTTACCGTACCTACAGAGGTTCTAGTGCTGCCGTTGTTTTAGTGCCGGGTGCCTGTTGCTTCCTGACGGCTGATCTGGGCTTTGATTTTTAAACAGCCTGTCGGTTCATTTAAATCTAATGTAAGAACAGACGCAGAATAAACACAGCACACACCCATGCACTGCCAATCAGCTGTCACTCTTCATCCTGAGCGGCTCCTCACAACCTGATGGAATGTGGCATCTACTGTAGACTTAGAAAAGAGACAGTGAAGACATACACACCCTGCTTTTTACAGTTTGAATGTGTGTGTGTGTGTGTTAAAAAATAGATGACATGCTTATGGCAGCAGTGAAGCTCCCC